ATCAGTGAAGTCTATGCCGCTCTCAATCAGGTCCTCCTCATAGAACATCACATTGCCCTTCATCAGCTGTCTGAAAGCCACTTCAGCAAGTTTGAGGATCACTCCTCTGTTGGACTGCAGATTCTTTGGATCTCCCTGCAGTTTCTCTGGATCTCTCTCTTCATACTTCTGCTTCCTTACGTTGATCTTTAGCTGTCTGAAAGCCACTTTAAGTTTGTTGATCACTCCTCTGTTGGACTGCAGTTTCTCTGGATCTCCCTGCAGTTTCTCTGGATCTCCCTGCAGTTTCTCTGGATCTCTCTCTTCATACTTCTGCTTCCTCATGTTGATCTGAATCAGCAGGAAGTGGATGTACATCTCAGTCAGAGTTTGAGGGATTTCTGCCCTCACATCTTCTTCCAGGAGCTTCTGAAGCACAGTGGAGGAGATCCAGCAGAAGACGGGTATGTGGCACATGATCTGGAGGCTTCTTGCTCTTCTGATGTGGGAGATGATTCTGCTGGCTTGATGCTCGTCGCTGATTCTCTTCCTGAAATATTCCTCCTTCTGAGGTTCAGTGAATCCCTGAATCTCTGTCAGACGCTTGATGTATCTGGAGGGGATCTGATGGGCTGCTGCTGGTCTGGAGGTGATCCAGATGAGAGCAGAGGGAAGCAGATCTTCTTTCAGGAGGCTCCGCATCAACACAGCCACTGATGAAGATTCAGTCACAGCACAAACTTTCTCCTCATCTGAAAAGTTGAGTGTGATTCTGCTTTCATCCAGACCATCAAAGATGAACACAACTCTACACTGCTCATAAATCTTGGGCTCCAGATCTTCAAGTTCAGGATGAAAGTCCAGCAGAAGTCTGTGAAGACTGTACTGATGATGTCTGATCAAGTTCAGCTCTCGAAATGGAAGCACAAACATGAAATCTACATCCTGATGGTCTTTTCCCTCGGCCCAGTCCAGAATGAACTTCTGCACAGAGACGGTTTTCCCGATTCCAGCGATGCCTTTAGTGAGAACAGTCTTGATCTGGGCTTTCTCCTTCTTGATCTTCTCCTCATGTCCTGCTCCAGCTGAGGCTTTAAAGATGTCATTGCAGTAGACTGGAGCGTGTTGTGAGGGTTTTGTTCTGCCTCTTTTCTCCATCTGTAAAACCTCATGTTCTTCATTCACTCCTTCACTCTCTCCTTCTATGATGTAGAGCTGTGTGTAGATCCTGTTCAGGAGGGTTTGAGTCTCTCCATGGTTGATTCCCTCAAATAATCTCTCATACTTGCTCTTCATGCTGGTTTTGTGCTGCTCTTTGACTCTCTGAAGTTCATCATGTTCTGGTTGGAGTGAATCCTGCTGCAGGTCTCCAGTCTGATCATCTCTATCCGCACTGCAGGAACAACAACAACACAAAGAATCAATGAGTGCGAGAGTAAAGATCCTCTAGTGAGGCCATGTGTGTTTTCTCTGAACCAGCTGAGACGCAATACACAGATTTATCCAGAACCAAACTACAGTAATGCAAAAACTGTTCCAGATCAGCAAGAACCGGCTTCAGTCTTAAAATTACTCTCATAGCTCTACTGTGAAGCACTTTAAACACCACACACTGGTCAATTTAAACACCACACACTGATCACTTTAAACACAACACATTGATCACTTTAAACACCACACACTGATCACTTTAAACACCACACACTGATCACTTTAAACACCACACACTGATCACTTTAAACACCACACACTGATCACTTTAAACACCACACACTGATCACTTTAAACACCACACACTGATCATTTTAAACACCACACGCTGAACACTGTAAACACCACACGCTGAACACTTTAAACACCACACACTGATCACTGTAAATACCACACACTGATCACTTTAAACACAACACACTGATCACTTTAAACAGGACGCACACTGATCACATTAAACACCACACACTGATCACGTCTACGGCTCGAATTGCTGTAAACAGTGTTTGTCATTTATTAAATATAACACTTCAATCATTTGATATCATTTATTTACAATGATGCAGGATGCTCACTGAAGACATTTAAAATCTTAAAAAAAGCTCCTAGATGACCTGTTCAGCTGTGGTAGTGTGTAATGTGGTGATGTTGTTTCTTTTACTGTATAATTTTCTCTTCTCATGTTCCTCTGAATCTTGTATTCTGCTGTCTGTAGTTATGAAGGTTGTTGTGAACTTATACTTGTTAAATGTTTTGCCATCAATAAGAAATAATAATCCTCTCCATCTCTACTGTCTGAATCTTTCAGTGCTTCACCATGACTGTGTTTGCTCTGCTTCTGTCCTCTGTCAGCTCACTTTCTGACTGAATCTAGTTTTTGATTCACATAATAATCTCCAGATCATACAAGTGTTTGCTCTCAGAGTTCAGGATTTCAGTAACAGCGCTGTAATATTGATCCACTTGAACATTTACCACTTTAACTTTGTAACATTGATGCATTTTATTAAGATAATCAGAGAAGATCTGAATACAGTTTCATCTTAAATCAGTATCTCTCTTGACTATAATTATTTATCAGGTGAAATGTGGTGTGTTTGTCGCACACAACTTGTTCATTCATCATGTCTTAAATTTCTTGATCACCCACACTTTGCTGACTATTGTAAAAGTATGTAAACTCACTCTACTAACTCTAACAGTTAGAGCATTAAGACTTCTTTAGTACTTCACTAATGATCAGATGTGAGTGTGTGGACATTCAGTTTTAAAGTCTCCTGTATTTTGTTCCCTGTAATAAAATGTCTTGACTGGACTGTGAGAATAAAGTGTAATAATGTCTGATCTTCTAGAAACACATGATCATATAATTGCTGCAGTGCAATCATGTGTGTGTAGAGATGACCTACCTGACAGCAGGTCGTGTGTTTTCATTCTTAAATTTTAATGGTGGATCCATAGATGTGTCACTCTTCATAGACACACAGCTGGGCTCTGCTTCTACTCTCTTCTGATGAACTGAGCTAAAACAGAGAAGATTAAAGTTGAGCGCTGCACACACTGCACAAACCTGATATTACTCATTCTTCATTTACAAAAACACTTAAATTAATTTCCTTTATATTTGAACAGAAACTGTCTGAATGTGGAAAATATCAGCAAACACAGATCAAGGCTCATTTCTAGTAGAGAAAGCCCAACAGAAAGGCAGCACTATTAGAGCAGATTAGAGCTGAAACTAATCATCAAATCACTGAATGAAGTCCACAGTGTAGGTGTGGGAGGAGCTTAATCATTCAGGCGTGTCAATCATCATTACATGACTATATAAGCAGCTGTATAAACTGCACTGTGTCAGCTGACTGTTATTCCCGCCTCCAGCAGCTCCCCTTATCCTCCTCCTCATCACTCAGTCTTCAAAAGGTCACTCATTGGGGGTTTGTCTGCAGAGCTCCAGTCCAGACTTTGAGGACAGCAAGACAAGTTTATTTATCATCATCTATCATGACTGAATGACCAGAAGAACTCGAGAAATATCAATTCTAGAAACCAAATGTGTTGATCAGCAGCATCTTTGAGGCCAACACAACATGATGATGACTGCGCTTCAGTGAAAACAGACTCAGATCAGAGGAATGGCTGATCAGTACAGCACAGAAACAGCAGGGGAAAGTGTGCAGGAAAAGCCCTTTATGGCAGGAGATCGGGAACTCTTTAGTTTAGCTCACAATTCATACTATTAACTACCGGCTTATTATCTGTGTAATGTGAACATATGAACTGCTCATTAGTAGTCATACAGTATGATCTTATTGTGGATCCCTACCCCTACCCAAAACCTAAACCCAGCTTCTACCTCACTAACTATTCATAAACCGCTGATTGGTTTGTTAACACCATCAATTGTGGCCTGAAGTGTAAAGCGGAGATCTTTAAGCACTATCCTGCAGAGCTCAGATACAACATCTAACATCTGAAACCCAACAGATCCACAACACTAATTACCTGATTCGTTTATTATGAAAATACTCATCAGTTGCAGATATAATAATAATAATAATAATAATAATAATAATAATTCCTTACATTTATATAGCGCTTTTCTGGGCACTCAAAGCGCTTTACACAATGGGGGGATCTCCTCATCCACCACAAGTGTGCAGCATCCACCGGGATGACGCAACGGCTGCCATTTGGCTGCAGACCGCACACCACACACCAGCTGATTAGTGGAGAGGAGACAGTGATGAAGCCAATTGAATTAGGAGGCCATGATGGACAGAGGCCAGTGGGCAGATTTAGCCAGGATGCCGGGGTTAAACCCCTACTCTTTTCGAAGGACATCCTGGGATCTTTAACGACCACAGAGAGTCAGGAGAGCGTCCCCATCACTATACTGGGGCATTAGGACCCACACAGACCGCAGGTTGGGCGCCCCCTGCTGGCCTCACTAACACCACTTCCGGCAGCAACCTAGCTTTCCCTTGTGGTCTCCCATCCAGGTACTGACCAGGCGCAGCCCTGCTTAGCTTCAGTGGGCGACCATGTGAGACCATATTAAAGAGATGTACCTGACAGCAGGTCCTGTGTTTTCACTCTTAAATGTCATTGGTGGTTTCATAGACGCGTCACTCTTCATAGACACACAGCTGGGCTCTGCTTCTGCTCTCTTCTGATAAATTGAACTAAAACAGAGAAGATTAAAGTTCAGCGCTGCACACACTGGAGTCAACACAGCAGATTTACTCAACATTTCATCATTAAAGGGCACCTATTGTAAAAAATCTACTTTTCAAGCTGTTTGGACAGATCTGTGTGTTGGTATAGTGTATAGACCATCATACTGGGGTGATATGAACACACCCAGTCCTTTTTTTTCAATTTAACTACAAAAAAAGGGTAGGCCAATTGGAGCTGTTTTCAAATCGATCGCACCATTACGTAGGTGTGCGATTCCCCCCGCCCACCGAATTGATTGACAGTTGCGCGTATTAACATATCCTGAGTTTGCCGTTTCCGCCATTATCAGCGTGTACGTCGAAGCAATGCCACCAAGAGAACACCCTTGTGCTATTTTAGGATGTAAGGCTCAGCACAAGAGCCTTCACCGTCTTCCTTCAAATGAGCAACAGAGGCTTAAGTGGCTGAGTTTTATCTTTGAAGACAAGGTGCCTGAAAATGTACCAAAACTGTTGTATGTTTGCGCTAACCACTTTAGCGTAGACTGCCTCGAGAACGCGGGACAATACAACTCCGGATTCGCGAGTAAATTGTTTTTGAAAACTGGATCAGTTCCTACAATACGTGATCCTGCCTCACTTCAAGTAAGTATTACATTTTATGTACTTCTAGCCTTAGCATTCTAATTATGATAAGCCGATGAATAGCATCTGCGGCTAAAGTAGCTTCGGATGTTTGTTTGCACGTGTTTACCTCTTATTGTGCTTTTCAAAAACAGTCTAAATACTCGAAGCTGCAAATGGTAGTGTGTACATGAAGGGGGTTTAGCCAGTAGAAACAGAAACCATAGAAAAATAGCAACATTGTAAAAAGCAGTACCACTGGCTACAGCTAAAGTTTGTTGTTGTTGTTAAATGTTTGTTGTACTGTAATGGTAAGCCGAAATGAATAGCATCTAAAAGTTAAAAGCAGCTAAAGATGCTTCGGATGTTTGTTTGCACGTGTTTACTGCTATTATGCTTTTCTAAAACAGTCTAAATAATCGAAGCTATAAGTGGTAGTGTGTTTAAGAAGGGCTTTTAGCCATTAGAAACAGAAACCGTAGAAAAATATAAACATTGTAATAAAGCAGTAACCAGTACTGGCTACAGCTAAAGTTTGTTGTTCATGTGGGATGTTTGTTGTAATGTGTATACTGTAATGTTAAGCAGAAATGAATAGCATCTGCGGCTAAAGCTACTTCGGATGTTTGCGCGTTAACAGCTATTGTGCTTTTCTAAAACAGTCTAAATACTCGAAGCTTTAAGTGGTAATGTGTACATAAAGGGGTTTTAGCCATCAGAAACAGAAACGGTAGAAAAAATTAAACATTGTAATAAAGCACTACCACTGACTAAGTTACAGCTAAAGTTTGTTTTGTATGTGGGATGTTTGTTGTAATTTTTTTCACTGTACTTGCACGTGGTCTGCAGTTGTTTACAATAAGATCGGTATGTTTTAATCAAATAAAGGTCATTTTAAAAAATGTATGTTTTCTTACAAAGGCCACGACGTCGACAAAGAGCAACAAGGTGGATGTTGCTTGCCAGACCTTTTCACACATCTTTACACAGTGTTGGTACCCAGTTGTCTTTTAGGACGCTTCAGGCTAAACGCAGGAGTACAAGTAAGTTAAAATTTCTCAGTTTATTTTAAGTTGCTGCATTAGAAACGTGTTTTATAATCTTTATAATCGTGCAATGAGATTAATCATAAAATTACACTATAGGTGTCCAGACAACAATATCCAGTTTTGAACTGACTGTACCATCAGCGTCCTCTACTGCGTGTATGACTTCAACACCCCTCAAACCTTCACTAAAAAGACCTCGTCTGGAGCTGGAGGAGGAGGAGGAGGAAGAAGAAGAAGCCGAAGAGACTTTGACAGAGTCAAAAATTATAGCCCAAGACTCGAATCTGCAACTGAACCAACAGACTTGTCGTGAGTTTATGCATTGAACCTGCTATTGTCCACAAGTGGAGAAATTGGCAGAGTGAAATGCTAGAACAGCTCAGTCGAAGAGAGAATGTGATTGTTGGAGGAGATATGAGGGCTGACTCCCCAGGTATTTAGTCAAAAGATTTAATTTCTAATTCAATACAGTCTAATAAAAAAAAAAAAAATGAAACACATTACAATTATTCCAAAAATGTGTTTAAAATAATTATGTACGGTTTGTTCTTGAAGGTCACTCGGCCAAGTATGGGAGTTATACAATGATGGACCTTGCAACTAACACAGTGGTCGACCTACAGTTAGTCCAGGTAATACAGAAAAGTATTATGTGAACTAGCATAATATTTTGGATTGAAAATGTGTGATTTATTTATATATATATATATATATATATATATATATATATTTTTTAACCTTATTTAAAATTTTATAGAGTAATGAGGTGGGTGGCAGTTACCATATGGAAAAAGAAGGCCTAAAGAGAAGCCTTGACCTGTTGGATGCCCGCGGTGTTCGTCTGGAATGCATCATCACAGACCGACATCCTCAAATACAGAAATATCTCAGGGATCGAAATGTCACTCAGTTTTACGATGTGTGGCATATCGAGAAAGGTATGTAATTTAGCAGTTATTAATTTACTTAAGATTAAATTGCTATTTACAGTTCTTACATGTTTATTATTATTTTTGTGTTGATGTCTTTTTTTTCTTTAATTTCCAGGAATTTCCAAAAAACTGGACAAGATATGCCAGATAAAGGGGTGTGAGAAGTTGCGTAAATGGTTACGTAGCATCAAAAACCACATCTACTGGACTGCTGCATCATCCACAACAGGTCCTGAAAGAGTGGCAAAGTGGACCTCTATCTTAAACCATGTACAAGACAAACATGTACATGAAGACCCCAATTTTCCGGCTTGTCTGCATCCGCAACGGATAAGCAGAGACAAGAACAAATGGCTGTCGGCTGGTAAGTTGTATACAGACAAATAAAATATTCTTTGCGATTAAAACTAATGCAAAACAGAGCTCGTTTCTTTGTTCAGATTTGTTTTTGATTTCGACTCTAATACCTTAAATTTTTGCTTGTTTAGCAACGATGCCATTCTACAAGCTGGAGAAAGTTCTCGCTAACAAGAGAATATTGAAGGATGTGGCCAAGCTAAGTCCTCACCACCAGACGTCAACTGTTGAAGCTTTCCACAGCGTCATACTGCGGTTTGCACCCAAAAATGTGGTATTCCCTTTTCTGGGGATGCTATGCAGGTAAAGCCAATGATCAGAAATTAATATTTACAATACTATACAGTCTTGTCATGGTACGTCATTTACATTTTTCTTTTTGTTAGGTTGTACTTGGCTGCACTTCATTACAATGAAAATGCCGGGCGTCCCCAGGCCACATCAGCAACTGGTAAACCTATTTACAAGCTTGCCTTTCCAAAGGCAAAGAAAGGAGAGTATAGGGTCCGAGAAGTGAAGACACAGCAAACTTTCAGTATGAATCTTCAGCACCACACAGGCAGGAATCACAACACGGACTCTCCGCCCGAGGAAACCCCAACACCAGCTCACAAAGCTCCGATAAGCCAAAAAGCGGCACTGTCTAACAGAGACATAATAATGAAACATTGTTTTAGAAATTGCACTACAATTTGAACTTGGGAGTTATCACATATACATTTTTATTTTTTATAAAATAACTAGCTTTACCAAAATTTCAGAAGTCATATTTTGTTTATTCAACTGCCAATGTATATTTGATATGTTTGTATGTGTTTGTAGATATACTGTACTTTCTAATGTTTATGGACAATTGTATTTCATTCAACAAAGTGACAACTTGGAGTTTATATTTTCAAAAGGATACATTTTATATTTGCCAATCACATTTTAATTTATACTTCAATATAAAGTTTTTATATGACTCAGGAATTGAAGCATCTTTTCTGAAGGGTTGATGTTTCTATGCCATACTGATTTTTATATATTTTAAGAGTTTATATGTTAATGTTTAGTGAATTTAAAATTATTTTTCAATAAAAAGTACATGCATTACTCAGCCTTTTATGAAGTCATTCAAATTGTCATCTCAGAAATAGCAGCAATAAAAAACGGTACGTATTTCATTTTATATTAACATTGAGGTAAAGTTGGTTTTATATTCAGATATTCGGACATTCTCCTTAATAGTATCATTTCAGTAAAATATTCTTTGCAAATTCAAAATAGGGAAATCGAATTAGCAGCAAATGACAAAGTACAACATTGTTTACAGTCAAGTAGATAGTTTTAATCTTGTTTACAAGTCATACTTGCATGCTAAATACGATCGATTGTTTAAACTATCATGATAAACAATACAGGGACTTCTGAATGTGCGGATATAAAACCAACTTTATCGCTATTGTATTGACTACACAGCGTTAATGTGCTTAAAAAGAAAGCGAGCATGCAGATCATGAACAAGGTAACCTGCTATTATTTCTATTTATTTAAACTCACTTTTGCACTCCACGAAGTCGCAGGGGACCATAGTCTGCTTTGTATATATTCGATGCATTTTGCAAGGAATAAATATTGAAGCAAACGGGATCCATTCCTGGATGCTCCGTCATGCACGATGGTTGCATTTCCAGTTGATCCATTCGTCTTCTAACCTTATTACACGACACAGTTATGCTGTTTATTATCTCATTCGATGTCTTTAGAGCAGCAACGTTAACATAAACTGGAAATTTACCTGCGGTATCTCCCTGCAGCATACATTTTCAGCCTCAGTTGGCATTTTTTCACAATTGCCACACAAGCACCTGCCAATATTTGTCAACGTCAATATTCATGAATTACGAATAAATCATACCAATGCAAAATTGATCTCTGTGGATATATTTATGTCTTGTCTGTGTTTGACGTAACGCATGACGTTCGCGAACTTTATCAAACAAATTACGGATTGCGCATGCATAGTTACATAGCGGCTGTAAAAGTATTCAAAAACATTTGTTATTTTGTATGTACCACTCTGACACATTCTGGCACATTCGGATTATAGATTCCTCAACAGTCGACTCTGCTTGATCTGTGTCCGAGTCTGGGTCATATATGTAGGGTTGAATTGTGTTCCTCTCACTCATGATGACTCTTACTGTCTGCCTCTGTGACGCGGTGCACAAAGCAGACGCGTTCTTGGCTCCGCCCCCTTGTTACGTTGGGCGGGCAGTCGAAACTCATTATCATGTTAAACAACACACCCCAAAACAGCAACCCGTGTACACGCCTCTAAATTTACACTTTTTAACACAGCATAATAACCATATCTGAATTGCGTTTTGATCTGAACCTATATTGGCACACTCAGAAGAACCATAATATTAGTATTAAATCTCAAAAAAGGGCTAAAATATGTGCCCTTTAACATATCTAAATGTTTCTAATATTGCTGTGTTCTTAAAAGTTTCAATAATACCTATTCCAGCATATAACAGACCTGAATCTTATTTAATTTGAATTAATCCTCCCTATGCTGGCTGATTTTGTTTTCCCTTATTGTCCTGAACTCATAATAATTATTAAAACTTGCCACCTAAGTAATTTCTTATTTCTGAGCTATTTCTTATTTTGCATTTTATATTATTACCATTTTTCACTTTTCAGCATTTTCAGCTCCTAATTCCTTCCTGTTCTCACATCACACTGTTTGTACATACATTTTTTGTTGTAATTTTTTATCAGTTGACTGAAAAATCACTGGATTTCTTTATAGGTTCCTCTCTATCTGATCTGATTATTCATCTTTAGTCCTTAATCTTTTTTGCTTTTATTTATTCCTTCACATATGTAAAACAACCTGTTTTCTGTTTTTTTTTATTTGTTTAAACACTTTTCTCTTTCGAATATTTTTTTAGTACATTTAGAATTGTTACTTTTTGACCTATTCAGTACTGTGAATTCATTTAATTTTTTTTTCATTTTCTTCAAGTATAAATCACTTTTCTGTCTTAATCTCTGACATAATTTTTCTCCCAAATCTTAGTTTAGTTTACTCAAAATAAGTTTTCCCTAATTTTAACTTAAATACTTAACTCCATCAACTTCTAACCCAAATTATTATTTTTTTAGTTATCAAAAACTGTCTTTTATTATCTTTTTTATCACCACCATGCATTATAATTTATCATCCTATGTTCAATAATATCTATAAGTTAACCTATGAAAATGAACCAAAATAATTTAACATTCTTCATAATTTAATCATTTAAACATTACACATTTAAAGTTTCATTGTACATTATCATCTAAGACTTTTCTTACAGTTTACGTGATACTTTTCTTTTTATCAAATTGATATGAGTCTGATTTGATACAAGAATGGGTAGCTACACTTTTGCTCTTATTTTGCCCTCTGAGTGGTCACATTGTACTCAATTTGGACTATAGGTCGACTGCTTTGAGATGGACTGCCAGACTCCCCCTCCTCACACCCTGAGAAGACAACTGGTTCAAAGATTGGTGTAGTCTTTTCTGTGGTGTCCATATCAGGGCACAGTGTTTCCCCCTTCTTTCTTAGTGCTGGCTTCTTTCATTGAGCTGTTGTAAAGTTCTGGTGGAGCGCTTTTTCTCTTTGATCAGTTCATCATTAGCTTGTTTGCCTCTTTTTAGTGTCTCTGAACATAAGTAGCCTTTCCAGTCCTCAGTAATTCCTGGGCATGCAGTGCCTGCCTCACTGCTTTCACAAATGTCCACAGCCAACAGTTTGTCCATTGTGTTTTTCAAACACCTTTTCCATTTGCCAGTGCACTCAGAGATGTCTAGTAGATAAGAGACCACAGTCCCCCAAAGTCCATCCCTATGTCCTCTTAATTAATATATGGAATTTAGCTCATAAAAGTCTTTCCTTCTTTCCCATTTTTTTTTCATCAAATGAAGACTCCTCTCATCTATTTTCTCCTCTTTACGGTTTAACAGTTTATTTTTCTCTAATTCACAATCATTTTATCATATGTAAATGTTTAATTTTCTATTTATTTAGTGTTCTTCTAAATAATTTCTTTAGCTTCAGATTATGCTTTACTTTACATTTCTCCTCATCTATGCTAGTGTTCCTTGACTAGCCACTCATTTTTACATTGTAACATTTTCTATACTCAGTTTCTATTTTTTCACTGCTTACATCAAATGTTTCTTTTGTTTGCCATTTGTCATTATCTTATCTTTTATTTTCTCTGTCACATATTTTAGTATTGCATTTTTTATTTCCATATCTGTTTTTCCATACCTGATTTAATTCAACAATACTACATGGTGGCCCAATATCTGGAATAACTGTTAAAAATCATTACTGCTATAGCTCAAAGTTAATATTATTAATTAAATTCACATATTTATTTACTAAAAGCATTTTTCATTTTTGAATTGCAATGTTTACTTATCAATTTAGCTTCTTACTGCTTAAACTTTAAAATTAATTTTTTAACTCACTCTAATGCATTCTTTAACATTTACCTAGCTCCTATGATTTTCATCTGAATCACTGTACTTTACTACAAACAAATGACATAGCTGACTTTGAGAAAGATGACAAAACATTTTTTTTCCCTTAAATCCAATCAAATTCTCTAAAGTCAATTATTTCTTTAAATTGTTACTGCTTTTTTCTTTTTATCTTATCTGTTCAATGTGCCTATATTGTAAGCATATTTTAAACATCTAATTTTATCTATGAAACAGTGGACTTATTTTTTCTTATTTCTATTTTATTCTTTTTCCTTTCTGTAATTTGAGTTTTTAGCTCTTAGGTTTTCTTATACATTTTAAAGCTTATTTTGTTACACATTTTATAAATAAATCTTCAATTAATCACTATTTATTTTTCAAGTTTTCTTTTTCTTTCTTATTCTCAATCAAAGAACTAACTTATATGTTATTTATTCATACTTATTTAGTAAATCTATTTGTTTATTAATACATTCTTTTACTCCATATTACCTTTATCTCTCTATAAATTGATCACTATGACTTCATTTATTCTTTTCCTTTAGTAGAGTTTCAAACTCTTTTCTATATAATATAACTCTATTATTAGTATTTCCTCATTTCATTTTTCTTACTATACTACTTTATAATTTATCTATTCATTAATAACTTATATTCTATCCAAATTATGTTAAAGTCTATGTCATTATTTTATCTATAGTTTGATCTCCTCTCTTTAACTCTCCTCTTCTCTGTTTCCCTAGTGCTGTAACTAGACATAATCTATTTATTGTTCACACATGGACACCATAAATCTCTCTCTTACCCCCATCCTGGAGCAGACTGTCTTTCACCTGTTGCTATGTAAAGAATTTAAGTCCACTCTGCCTATTGTTCTTTTTTAACATATTCAAACTTAAAACACAAAGATAATTTCAGAAAAATGTTTATTCTTCTGCTTTTTACTCTGTGTCTTTCAAATGCACATGTTCCATTAGTTTTAATTTAGGAGACTCCTCTCTTTATATCATAATCTCTTCTCTTAAACTGCATCAATCACTTTTCTTCTTGCTCTTTAAATCACACCACACATATGCAGCCCTCCTTTTATATTATAATATACTATAATCATTATTTTAACCTATTTTTTTTAAACAAACTTTTAAACACATTCACACTTCTAA